GCAACAGCAGCCACAGATTCGAACAAACCCCAGAAACCATCAGCAGGCGGGCGATCAAATCTCGCCCTCAATCGCGGCGCAAAGACGATGAGTAAATCCTGACGCCGCCACCCCGCCCTAGCCACTCCGGCCGATTTCAAGAAAGGACGGGCCTTTTCCCCCCAAATACCACCCGAACCAAGTTCCGATCATCGAACCCCAAGAAAAATAAACGAGATTGGCCGCACAATCCAACAGCCGGCCACAGATTCCTAGGCGAAATCGGGGCGGAACCCCGGCCGCATCGCCGGAACGGAGAGGGGGAAGAGGAAAGCCGCCTCCCGTGTACTACCTTTTTCTGATCAACCTGACGCAAAACGCTGCTTAATTCTTGATGAGAAGGTGGTTCTTGAGGCGAGGCAGTGTCTCGTGTGTGCGGGTGGCTATTTATAGTAGGCCGCTTGTGCAGACTGGCTAGAGTTGATAGACTCGGACGGAGAGGCCTCCAGCCCGGCCAGCTCGTCCGCTTCTGCCTCCCTCCGAGGTGTCACGCCACGACCCCTCCTGCCTCTTGGCCGGGCGCGATACGGACGCACGCCAATACCTGAAAGCTGCTCGCTTTTTTTTGCCCTTTTTTGCGTGGAAGTTAGCCACTTGGTTAGAGTGCAAAGCGTGGGAGATTAATGAGGGTGTGAATTCCGGAAGGTTCTTAATTCGGTTTGGATTGGAGAAGGTGGCGGCCGCAGGGGAGGCCTGTAAAAATGATTACGGTGGCCTTTCATTTATTTTTATACTGGATGGATGGATGGGTATGGCAGGCTCGGACACAAGGAGTTCGGCTCACTGGACAAGATACCAGTTGCTTTGAGTGTCCGCTTAATTTCCTGCCGCCAAATATACACAAGAGGGGATAATGCGAGAATAATCCATATATTCCGAATCACAACTCAAAAGAGGAGCTATAGCGTGCAATAAATTAATCTATGTTCCCCGCAAGAAATAATAATCTATGTAATACTAACCCATTACCATTTGCTACTGCACTAACCAGCCAGGTACCGCATGTTTATTATCCTCTAGAAAGAGGAAACTTTTCCGAAAATATTTGCATCTAGGGTTGAGAGAAGGAGAGGGATATGAATTTGCAATATATACAATGCAAGTACCACAAACTAGGGCATGCATCTA